AGTGCTTACAATATACGAATGATAAAAAAAGATGTGCATAATCATGCAATGACATATATATGTACAACAAGGACATGTTTACATCTTTACATGTTTCCTTTTTGTTGCACTTGTGATAGTTGATTGATTTGTGAGGAGTTGTTGATTGATTGACAATTGTGCAGTTTGGTTCAATATGAAATGGATCTTTGGTCTGCTAATTGAGGAGAACAAAGGTGGAGTAGGTGTTGGTGGGGGTGTTTGTTATTTGATGATGAAGAACAAACCGAAAATAAAATGATTAAATAGCAACAACTAGTGAGAGGCTTCTTAAGAAAACAAAAGAAAGAAGAATTCACTTTGTAAGGGAGATGATCATAAATAATAATATTTACTATGAAGTTGGAAAAATTTGTGATAACTAGATTAATGCTTATCGGTTTTGTACTACCTACACTATACATGTTAAGTGGATTGGGCTGGACTCAATCTGGTACATTAAGTGAAGAGCTTGCAGGGGCTGCGTTTGGGGCCAACCCCTAATGGGATAGTAAAAATTTGAGAACGGGTGAGACAGACCCAGTCCTTGGATCTTGATCTCTCAAACTTAATTGAAATTTGAGCTTGGAGCTTGATGTCTCATACTTCAAACACTAATCAATAGCTTGAGAATTAATAGTTGAGAGCTTTGATAGATTAAAAAGAGAGGAGAGAATTTAGAGTTGAAGGCTGAAGAATAAAGTTTGGGATGAAAGGTATTTATAGTTGAGAGATTTTAGGGCCCAAACAGTGATACTCAAAGTCAAAAAAGGGGGAGGGGGTAAAATAGCCGTTGGCTTATGGGCAAAAAGGGCCAAAGAAATGCCATTGAACAATGGCTGGAAACAGTTAAAAAACACCGATTAAGATTTTTAAATTGGGATTGGGCTGGGCCAGTCAACCCAGGGCTCATATTGAGCCGGTCCAACTTTTCGCAAGCCCTCTACGGACCCCTTAAGTTCCCTTGCGGGCCTGAGCGGCTCACTTTGACCGGACCCGGCCAGGTAAAAAATGGGCTGACTCAACCACTTGTCATGTCTAACCTCTACCTTGGAACAACCTAAAAAATCTAAGTGGAGAAGTCCTCAAATTCCTCCTACTTTTTATAAAACTTTTTCCTTGGAACACATTCTGATTCATATTCTACCGCAAACTGACTTTAGGTGATTTTTTTGCTTTTGTAAAACCATTTGTTTGGCTAGCCAAGGTCCTTCATGTTGATAATTATATTTTGTAGGAACATGTGAAATAAGTAGGATTTCGTTGTGCATGTATTTTATGATTTCTGGTTTATAGGCGGCTGCCTTTTCTTTTCATATTGGGTTATTTATTATACTCTCTTGGTTTTGTTAATTTTTTCTAAGTCCTGTATGCAAGGTTCCTTGTCTTGATGCTGCACTTTATCGTCCTTATGCAGACACACAACCTTGAGTTGAACGAGTTCTATAATGAGGTTGTTCATGATATGGAAGAAATATTGCTTGACTCTAGCGAATCTCCTGGGTTTGCTCTTGGAAACAAGATACACCATTCTTATATACCTCTTCCTTCTAGAGATGGTGGTTCTACTGCTTCGACTTCTGTTACATTTGATGTTAGTCCTGATACTCAACGCCCTGTGAGATTCGATAGAGTGGAGGTCGTTGGTGCAAGACAGAAGACAGGGGATGTTTCACTTAGTGAGCGGTTAGTTGGAGCAAAGAAATACACCGTTTATAGAATAAAAGTGTGGAGTGGTGAGGATTATTGGGAGGTTGAGAGGCGGTATCGTGATTTTTTTGCCCTCTATCGTCAGTTGAAGAAGTCATTTGCAGATCAAGGCTGGATTCTCCCACCTGTCTGGTCCGCCACTGAACGAGAATCACGAAAGATTTTTGGTAGTGCTTCACCTAATGTTGTTGCTGACCGAAGTGTTCTCATTCAAGAATGTTTACACTCACTTCTCCATGACAAGTTTCGTTCAGGTCCCCTCAATGCTCTGATTTGTTTCTTGTCCCCGTCAAAGGATGTTCCTAATTCTCCCGCTTCTGATACAAACATACCTCAGTCTCCATATTCTTCAAGAAGCACAAGCAGAGGGGATGTTTCCAGCTTGGGGAAAAAAATATCCCTAATTGTTCATAAAAGGCCTCTCAAATCAAAGAAACAGCTGCTAGATGAGCAACATTATTCTTGTGCTGGTTGCTACAAAAGTTTTGATGATGGAAAGACTCGGATAGAGGAACTTGCACAGACACTGGGCTGGGGCAAGCCTCGTCTTTGTGAATATAGTGGCCAGTTGTACTGCTCTTCATGCCATACAAATGATATGGCTGTCTTGCCTGCAAGAGTTCTGCATTGTTGGGATTTTAATCAATACCCAGTTTCTCAGCTGGCTAAGTCTTATCTGGACTCTATATATGACCAGGTAATGAGAAAATCATGCTGAAAAGACTTGCCAAACTTTTATGCTTCCAGAAACTTCCTCATCTTTCATACCAATCTACTTTCAACCATTTCTCGCCCAAAGACTTAAACTAGAATGCATTGCTATTCTCGTTCCTAATATTATTAAGTAGGCATCTGGTTAGTAATGCATAGAGTTGTTCCTTCTAATTGAGATGAGGCAGTAAGTCCCAGTGGCGAAAGTCCTATAGTTTTCTGGCCTTCCATCTGGGTTGTATCATCCTGCCCCTCCTACTTCTCCATATCCATATCATTGTATGAATGGATGAAGTGGAAGATACATTAGCAATACCTTGCCAACCTATGTTAAGAATTAGATACAACTTATAGTTCATTCTTCTACTCTTGCAGCCAATGCTTTGTGTCAGTGCAGTCAACCCCATGCTGTTCTCGAGAGTCCCAGCACTGCAGCATGTCACAAATATCAGAAAAAGAATAGAAAAAATCCTTCCGTTTGTTCGTTGCCCGTTTCGGAGTTCCATCTACAAAGGGGTTGGCTCTCGAAGATATATTCTTGAAGGCAATGACTTCTTTGCCCTCAAAGATCTTATTGATCTCTCCAAAGGAGTCTTTGCAGGTTAGTTTGTTAAATACAAATTTATACTCATGAAGGATGGTTTTATGTGGTTTTTCTTCTTTTATATTTTTGGTATTTCTCTCCTACCGTCCCTTTTGTTTTTAGTTGAAGAGTACAAGTTGGGGAAAACATTTGTAGCTCTTTCTTTTATTCTGATAGGGGAAATCCCCCCCCCCCCTTCCCTTTTCCCCCTCTCTCTAACTAACTAACTAAACCGTAAGTCCATAACAGGAAGTGATATCAATCCCCTACTTTAGTATGCATCCTTCTTGGTACCTTTTTATGGTTTTAGTCTCTGCTGCTTTCCGTGATGCATCCTGATTGTCAGAATTGGGGAAAAAAGAGGATCTAAGAAAAGAAGAGTGGGTTAATGTCATTCTCCATAATATAGACAGCCTTTTTCTTTATGTGATTACATTTTGAGCAAACTGGCTTATCTTTTTGGTGTTTTTGTTTTGGTACAATTTCCAAAGCAGCATTACCAGTGATGGTCGATACTATCTTGAGAAAGATTCTGGAGCATATAACCGACCAGTGCCTAATATGTTATGATGTGGGAATCCCCTGCACTGCTCGGCAAGACTGTGATGATCCCTCCTCTCTCATTTTCCCTTTCCAGGTAGGCATGTCTGAGTCTTAAGTTCCTCAGTTATTAAACCTTCTTTCTGAGGTTCAGATGTTATGTATCTTATGTACTACCTGCCTATGTACACTAGTTACCATGACTTCTTACCCAGTCTGCCATAAATGTTGCTAAAGTAGCGTTGACCTCAAGTTTAAACTTATACTCGTGAACATGATAAAATTGTTCCTTACTTGCATAAGGAAAGGTCAAACCTGCAAACGATATTAGAAAGTAATGCATGCCATTGTCAGAATGGGGCATAAAATACTGCTGATTGACATATTTATCTTTTGACCAGGAAGGAGAGATTGAAAGATGCAAATCTTGTGACTCAGTATTCCATAAGCATTGTTTTAAGAGGATATCATCTTGCCCATGTGGCACTCGGTTGAAGACGGAGCAGGAAGGCAGTTCAACTAAGGGCAGCCAGAACATGGGCAACTGGGGAATTCTCTCCTTGGACTTGCTCGGAAAGAGGGCAGACCTCAGTAAGGGGCTTGTTACGGGATTCTTAGGGAAGGTAAGGTCACTCAAGTCTAGCAGGAATGAAGAAGAGGAGCATGAAGACAATAATACCGTTATCTTAATGGATTCATTGCCAATGACCACCCTCTGAAGGGCTGTACATACAGAGTCTTCTCTTTTAGCTTTTGAAACTACTGTGATTAGAAGCTTGTGCTTTAGTGGAGGTCTATTTGGTCTTGTCCTCCCACCAACTTGTATTCTTTGTGAGTGCACAATGGTGATTCTTTCATTATCTCACAGTTATCATCCATTATATCCAGTCAGTCAGTTGTAAATGAAATATACATGATATTTGCTTGTAAGTTGAGAAGATCCATTTGTATTCGTTTGTATTTGACATGGTTCCTTGGATTTATTATTTGTTCCTATCTGGGTTTAGGTTATCCTACTACTCAATTTTAGTTAAGACTCCATTACTGAATCCATTTGATTCTGACAAGGGGATGGCAGTTCGCGTTCCTACAGTTAAGAAGTTTCTTTGGATATGAGACTGCACTTTCATTTAGTCCTTTGCAATTGGAGAAAGGATGGAAATTGTAGAACTGCATGTTACATTAAGTCCAATGGAACATAAGCAGATGCAGATGCAGATGCACGGATGCAACCATATGCAGAACCGCATACATACCAAACGTAGGACAATTCTTTTGAGAGTTTGATGCAGCCAATGATAATAAAGCAGCAGTAACTTAACTTGCAGTGCTTGAATGTCCATAAGGAAACTGCAATCATACTAAAATAGGAAATTAAAACAAGAGCAATTAAAATGTAGAGCCGACGTACGAGAGCTGATGCAACCAAGGGTAATAAAGCAGCAAAACTAACTTCCAACTGCTTGAACATCAATAAGGGAACAAGAATCATACTAAATAGTAACTTGAAAAGTACAGCTTTGATCTCCTGATCAAAATGTAATTAACACAGCATAGTATTAACTTGAATCTGAGAAAAAAAAAGCTCTTGAACTACACCAACAAAAAAAGATATCTAAAAACGTATAACAGAAAACTATCAAATTTTGCATCACAGGCAATTTAGAAAAGAGAGGTTCCCTTTCCTTTCTTGTCCCCGCCAATCTCAAAATGCTTGCACCTCTGCACAACCAAGGACAAGAGTTTAACTTGTAAAATCATGCGAACAAAGACATTGCTAAGGAAAAATTATAGAAGCAGAGATCATCATTTAACAAACCTTGATTGGGTGCTGAGAGACATGCTTGCACCCCTGGCATTGCAACCTTAAGACAATCTTCTTTGTAGTTTTTGCCTGGTTTGGAATGGCAGAAGAAACAGGAGACAGATAAGTGATACTACAAAGTAGCTTAGAATGTTTAACACCACTACTAGTGCATAGATCATATAGCTTCTTCTTGCTACCCTTATTTTATCAAATCACCAATAGTTTGTAATATGACTATTAAAAAGATATTAAAAGGGCTATGAAAGAGTGTGTTCATTACGAAACCCAAAAATGCTTCCCACCTTTTTGTGGAAGACGGGCTTTGTCTGTCCACCATAACCTGACTGCTTACGATCATAACGACGCTTTCCCTGGGCAGCTAGACTATCTTTTCCTTTCTTGTATTGTGTGACCTTATGCAAGGTGTGCTTTTTGCACTCCTTGGATTTGCAGTAGGTCTTCTTTGTCTTAGGTACGTTCACCTGCAAGAGCCGGACAAAACCAAGTTAAACAAGCTTGTTTGTCTTCGTGTATGAAACCGATGCTCATCATTTGCATAAGTGGTTATTGAATAAATAATTTAAAATCAATCATCTCATGAAAATTACAAACTCTAATTATGGTTAACACCATTATTTGGTTAAAAGCTGATTAGATTAAGTAAAATAATCCAAATCAAATCATCCCTAAAACTATATATAAAAACATAACTAGCTTCCAAGGGAAGAGAATGGGGCATGCAAGAAAAAGGTGATAAGTCAAATAGCAGGCATGTTTCACAAGATAACAGTTAACAAGCAAAAGGGCTGCACTCTCATCTCTTTCAGTGCTCTGCAAGTGGTAAGACTTATCAATAATATCACCCTCAACCTATAATCCGTGCCTCTATACAATTCAAAACTGTGCATATGCTCTTTCCCTAAGCTCTCTTGTAAATTTTGCTCTTAATTCAACATCTCAATACACTTTCAAAGGCTCCTTACGGATAATTGCAGCAAAACAGGCGCCCCACCCACAAGCTTACTTGTTCTGAAGCAGCTCAATAGTACTAAAGGTGTACAAGGGTTTCACTACCCTCCATCCATTACAACCCCAATTATGATTACGTGCATAATAAAAATGGATGAATCTAGGGGTGAGAGGATCAAATTTGAACTTGACAGGATTTCCCAAGAAGAGCAATTGCAACGACAAAATAATAAGGGGTGCTTAAAGTTAATTTGTGATTGTCCAAACTCTTCGACCAAGGTTAAGATGTCAAGGAAGGTCAAGAAATATGTCTGAACATATTTTTTATAATCAAGAAATCCCTGAGAGCTCATGGCATACGGTTCGAAATTCGACGGATAATGGACTCCCCCTCTACCCTTCCCTACTTAAATTCCAAGCTTTTGTTAGGATTCAAACCAGTGATGTGCGTCTAACTCACACATCACAAGGTGTGGTTTTACCACTAAACCAAAGCGCTATGAGGCAAGCATGCTTGAACATTTATGAATAATGGAACAAGTCAACCTACTTTAATTTTGTTGTTGAAAAGATCAATATAATTGCACAGTATTCTAGAGGGCTCAAAATCAGTTCTAAAGTTGCAACATTAACTCATTTCATTTCCTTAAATCCCGATGGAGGAAAAAAATACTAGCTGACTCCTTCCTATCTGCCTAAGCCTTGGTGGCAAGAGTTACTCGATACATGTGATAGTGGGAGGTAGCAGGTACCAGGTGAAATGGTTAGCGTGTGCAAGCTAGCCTGAACACAACAGTCATAAAAAAATTACAGTTTGTTCCTACCCCATATCCAACTAACTTCCACTGCTAATAGATTTAAGTAAGACCATACACATCAAACAGCATAAAATTTTTAGACTAATTATTAGAATTCGTTCATACAAAGAGAGATAAAAGGTGCACAGCTACTAATGAAAATAGCCCTCAAATCGAAGTTTCAGTCCAAATATATACAGACAATTTTAAGTAAATGCTACTGTAATTAAATATGTACTCATTTATCAAATTACAAAAAATAATCAATTCCTTTCCCAGTGAACGAAGCATACTGAATTCGAATAAGTGGGAGCATGAGAGTTACCATTGTCGCGGGCCGAGGATGAGATCTGTCGCCGTTCAGCAGTTACAGTGGCAAAGCCCTAGGCCAAGGATGAACTTGCGCTTTATACAGCCAGTGCAGGGTTGTGTCCACTTGGCGAGTGGAATTTGTAGGCCGGCCCAAGAATTGGGTTAATGTGATCATGACCGTTGGGCCTGTCAAATAGTGCTGGGTCGTTTGGTGGGAAAAAAAAAAATTCAGAAATAGCCTGATTTAGAACTTGGTAATTAAAAAATAATCACAGTTTCAAAAGTAATCAAAATTTTACAGTTTTTTCATGTAAAGATAAAATTTGAACAAAAATATTCAAAAAAAATTCTAGCATAATATGCTGGAGTTTGAATTTTTTACATATGAGATTCCAGCATAATGTGCTGGAGTTCCAACATAATATGTTGTAAGTTTATATGCATGATGTCACGTCCTTAGTTTTTAACTAAGTACACGTGTAGCACTTGACAACTCGCTCACGATCTTGCACAGCTTGCTCACGTTCTTGCTATGCCAAGTCGGCCTTACTACACTCAAGAACGCTAAGAGAATGGTAGAAAGAACACAAGAAATTGTTAAAGGAAGCTTTGTATTAGAGAGAACTTGAATTGTTTGCTTGATGAATTACAAATGAATGGCCCCCTTTATATACTAGTCTCCTAGGGGCTAGTGTGTAAATAATAATTATTACACAAGTCCTTAATATTTACAAGATAAGGGCTTTCTCTAGAATTCTCTACAAGCCTAGAAGATTCCAAGGACTTTCCTAGCAAATCCATAAGGATCTAGGTTCTTCCTAAGGAAATGTCCATACTTCTCTAGAATCTTCTGACAAATGCTAGCCTTCTTCTTATGTAAGCTTCCACACGGCATTAATATATGCCAAATGGTGCCTATGTGGCATGATGACATGGCGGGTCGTCACACTCTCCCCCACCTAATATTGTGACGACCGCGGTGCAATGCTGCTGCATAAACTCTCAGATCTTATCTTTGGATTGCCACAAGTCTTCATATCGTTCCCACATGGCCTCCTCCGGTAATTGCCCTTTCCAATGGACGAGGAATATAGCGGTGGCTTTTTGCCCTTGTTTTCGCCTGGCCTGGTAATCCATAATAGCCTCAATCTCCCGATCATGCGAGGCGGTGATAGTCATTGGCGCTCGACTTGATTGGCCCCTACTCGGATTATCCTTATCTTCATGATATGGCTTAAGCATGCTGGCATGGAAGACAGGGTAGATCTTAAGATACGATGGCATGTCAAGCTTGTATGAGATCTTGCCTACCTTGGCAACGATCTTAAATGGCCCCTCATACTTGCGAATCAAATTCTGATGCATGCCCCGTAGTGCCTTGAACTGTCTTGGGTTAAACTTCACCATGACCATGTCCCCAACTCTATAGTCCGTGGGATGTCGTTAGCGGTCCGCAAACTTCTTCATCTTCTTAGCTGCCTTATCCAAGTAGGACTTAGCAGTGTCAAGTTGCTCCTCCCATCCTTTAGCCATATGATAAGCCCCCAAACTCTTTCCCTCGAACGCGGCTAGTAATGAATGTGGAGTTTGTGGTTGTTGGCCTGTGGCTAGCTCAAATTGTGTTCGCCCCGTGGACTCACTCCGCTGCAAGTTATAAGAGAATTGGGCGATGTCTAGGAGCCTTGCTCAATCTTTCTGATGCGCACTTACATAATGCCTCGAGTAGCATTCTAGTATGGCATTAACCCGTTCTGTTTGTCCATCTGTCTGTGGGTGGAAACTAGTGGAAAAGTGCAGTTCCATGCCAAGTATGTCGAACAACTCTCTCCAAAAGTTTCCAGTAAAGCGGGGGTCTCGATCACTGATTATATGCCTTGGTAAGCCCCAATACTTCACCACGTTCTTAAAGAATAGCTTGGCGGCTTCCTTGGCTGTACAACCTGGTGAGGCGGGCATGAAGGTGGCATATTTGGAAAATCTATCCACGACCACCATAATAGTACCATAACTATCGAACTTTAGTAGGCAAGTGATAAAGTCCATAGTCACGCTCTCCCATGGACGCTCTGCAACTGGTAGTAGTTCCAAAAGTCCTCCGGGCTGTTGTTGTTCAACCTTGTCCTGTTGACAGACAAGACAAGTCTGCACATAGCACTCTGTGTCATCTCACATGCGTGGCCAATAGTAGACTGACTCAACCCTAGTGCGACGTTGACCTGGATGACCAGCCCACATTGTGTCATGACTCTCCCTTATGATCCATCATCTAGTGTCTCCACACGTAGACACACCGACCCGTGGTAAGCAATAGGCCGTCTTCTACCAAAAAACATCTCATCTTGCCCTGGTTGGCTAACTCGATAAGTTGTTTGGCTGCTGGATCATGTTGCATGCCTTCTTTTATAGCCTCACGAATGTCCGAACTTGCTGAAGTGATGGCAACAAGCTCGGCTTTCCGGCTCAAGGCATCAGCTACAACATTACCTTTGCCCGGCTTGTACTCCAGCACATAATCAAACTCGGCCAAGAAATCCTGCCACCTAGCCTGTTTTGGTGTGAGCTTCTTCTGCGTCTGAAAGTAGCTAGTGGCCACATTATCGGTCTTGACCACGAACCTCGACCCGAGCAGATAATGTCACCATGTACGAAGGCAATGCACAATGGCAGTCATTTCCTTCTCTTGCACCGTGTAACGTCGCTCCGTCTCATTTAACTTGCGGCTCTCAAACGCTATGGGATGCTTATCGTGCATCAGGACACCCCCAATGGCGAAGTTAGAGGCATCTGTGTGCACTCAAATGCTTGGCAAAGTCAGGTAACGCCAAGACTGGCTCCTCTGTTATAGTTTCCTTAAGGTGCTCAAACGCCTTTTGACAATGCTCCGTCCAGACCCATGGCTTGTTCTTCTTCAGCAACTCAGTCAATGGTACGGCCTTTGCTGAGTAGCCACTGATGAACCGACGATACTAGTTAACAAGGCCAAGGAAGGATCTCAACTCCGTTACCTTTGTAGGTTCCCCCCACTCCTGGATAGCACGTACCTTAGCCTCGTCCATGTGTAGCTCACCATTGCTAATGACATGGCCCAAGAAGTGCACCTTTGATTGTGCGAACTAACATTTCTCCCTCTTGATGTATAGCTCGTTCTCCCGCAAGACTTGGAAAACCTTCCTTAAGTGCTCCATGTGCTCCTCCAAGGTGTTGCTGTAGATGACTATGTCGTCTAGGTAGACTACTACGAACTGATCAAGGTAGGGATGGAAGATCTTGTTCATAAGGGTGCAAAATGTGGTTGGTGCATTGGTTAAGCCGAAGGGCACCACCAACCACTCAGAGGCTCCACATCTTGTCACACATGCTGTTTTTGGCTCATCCCCTTCCGCAATACGAACCTGGTAGTAGCCCTTTCGAAGATCCACCTTGGTAAAGTACTTGGCTTGCCCAAGTCTATCGAACAAGTCAGCAGTGAGCGGGATCGGGTACTTATTCTTCATTGTAACCTTATTAAATGCTCGGTAGTCTATGCACAAGCGCAGCGATCCATCCTTCTTCTTCTGGAACAATACTGGTGCGCCAAAAGGTGCCTTTGATGGGCGAATGTGACCAACATCCAGCAACTCTTTCAATTGTTTCTTGAGCTCCTCTAGCTCGGGCGGTGCCATACGATATGTGGCAAATGCGGGTGGCTTAGCCCCTAGCTCCAACTCAATCTTGTGATCCACCTCTCGCCTAGGCGGCAAGTGCTTAGGCAACTCCTCGGGCATGACATCTTTGTTTTCCTTAAGCAACTTCTCTATGCAAGGCGGCACTATTTCTTGAAATTTCTTGTCTTCCTCTAGACTTGCAATGGTTGCCACGAACGTTGGCTCCCCCTTCTTGATCCCCTTGACAACCTGCATAGCTGAGAGTTGTGCTTGGATCTGTCCGTGTGGCATAGTCACTGTAGGTACTATGCAAGCTCCTTCTCTCTCCATAACTTTCCAAGCTCCCAATTTGACACCTACTCCAATAGCTACCCCACGAGCATTTTGTACCTCGACATTCACTATCTTGACGCGAGAGTTGGTTAGAGCAAGCTTCAATTCTAGTCTCTTTGCGGCAGCCTCAGTCACGAAATTATGAGTTGCTCCAGTATCCACCATTGCACGAGCGGGCTTGTTGTTGATGGTGAGATCCACGTACTGATTGCCATTCTCGGTAGGTTGGATAGCTTGCTTTGTGACAGCACCACATAATCCGATCATACCCAACTGTGCGGTTACCAAACTCTCTCCTTGCGGCTGCTCCTTTCATTCACGGACTATGGCGCTGAGGCTCTTTAGGTAGGGACAATTCCTGAAGCCGTGCGGCCCTCCGCATATGTAGCATCCCTTCTTCTCGGCCTGTGCCTTCTTCTCGGTGTAGCCCTGACGACCACTTGACTTTTTGGAATCTTGAGTCTTGGAGTATTGTTGATGTATCTCCTTGCCTTTGCCACGATCTCCCCCGCCTTTGACATTGTTAACCTTTGACTCCTTGCCATTGCCTTTGTCGTGCTTGTCATGCCTGAAATCCATCAATGATTCGGCCTCCACTATGGCTTGGTCTATATCAGTGACTTGTCGGTGTTGCAACTCCCGCTTAGCCCAATTTTGCAACCCGTCCATGAAGTGGAACAATAAGTCATCATTGGTCAGGTTGGGGATTTGAAGCATAAGGGTAGTGAACTCCTTGACATAGTTACGTATGCTCCCTGTTTGCTTCAATTCCCTAAGCTTGCGCCTTGCCTCATACAAGACATTGTTTGGAAAGAATTGTCGCTTGAACTCGGCTTTGAACTGATCCCGTGTGCTAATAGTACATAGACCTTTATCCACGTCGGCCATCTTCCTTCTCCACCATAGCATGGCAGTCTCTGAGAGATACAATACTGCAGTGTTGATCTTGGCCTCGTCGTCCCTCACTTTGCCGTGCCTGAAGTAGTTCTCCAAGTGCCAAAGGAAGTTTTCCACTTCTTGGGCATCACGAACACCTTTGAACATCGGGGGTTTGGGAGCCTCGATCTTGGCCTCCCTCGTCACCATAACATTGTTGGCTGCCTCGGTCACGCCAGCATTGACATGCTCCTCGAGTGACTC